CACTGTCTTTCGGCATGGGCTTTACCACAAAGCATTTCCAATCGATCGGTAACAAATCTTGGAACAGGGACCTATTGAACAAGTCAGCCACAGCAGGTGCGATAATTTCCGCTAGGGATATGTGTATCACTGAATGAAGCCCGTCAGATCCAACAGGCTTGCTACCGTCAATGCTGCCTTTACTTGGTACACCTTAATTCCACAATCTAGACTGTCGAATTCAGTAGGGACGGTACACTTTGAACTCGGTACAGACACCTGGTCAGTTGCAAACACGAAAACTAAGTGTGCAGCGTACGAGAATGTACCCTCAGTGCTGTAGGCTTTTGATTGTCCGTCCGAGCCGTGTATTACTGGTTGATCAACTGCAAGCTTCAGGCGCTGCTTCACGTAAGGAAAGATTCTTTTTGTGACCGTCTTTGTGGTAGTTTCAAGCTGATCCTTGAAATGCCTGTGTTTGCTCATTTTCTCCCTGTTGCAACTATTTCGCTGCTTGTTATAAGCTTCCTAGTCGTTGAGAGAGCTGAAGAGGAGGAATTTGTTTCACAGCTTGCGCCCCCGTCGCGCAAATTTACCATACTGTTTGTCTAACTAATGTAGCTTGGTCTGTCCGACTTTCCGACGCTTGAGAAGTACAGATTAGTTTCACCATGAGTTTACCCCACTCTATAGCTAACCAGCAATCTCCAACAGACGCGGGTTGCGACAGAGACCAATCCACTTGGCTCGCGGCTCGAGTCAGGCCGTCGAAATCCGTTTTCTAGTAGTGATAGAGTGGCTGTAGTGTGTGGGATAGCTTCACCGGTAGCTTCATGTTGGCAATACGAACTGCGTGGTCGCTTGCTGTCAGCGGCTCCAGGATGCGAATGTCATACAGATGTTGTTGTTCGCAGTTTGTTAACATCAAGTCCAGGCACCATGGAGTTGTGCGCGGTGTTATATGTGTCGGTTAGCGGATGTGTTATGCTGCCCCAGTTTCAGCTGCCATTTCGGCGGACCTTACTTCGAGATCACAATATCCGGTGGTAAGTTTAACTTTAGGCTAGCGTATTAGAGGACAATTGAAATCGCCTATGCGTAGAAAATGACGTCGACCTGTTGTCTCGGCGATGCGGAAGCCAATCCAGTCAGCTGCTCAGGGGACTGCAATAGAATGTTTCCACGAGCAGCTCTCCGCCCGTGAGATGGATGGAGCACCACAACTGCTCGCATAGGCCATCTTCGCTTCAGTGGGCGCTCACGAGTCTCCCACACAGAGAGGACCGGATGTTGAACAGGAAACCACCGCGGGGATTCGCTGGCATATCTCAACGGAAGCACGAGGAGCCACTAAGCTCAACTTCCTCTGTTGGTTCCACATCGTTAGACCGCGTCTTTGCGAATCCAACCACATCTGGTCGTTCGAAAGCAACGAAACGGCACAGCCCATCGCGCTTGTTCATAAGAGTGCAAATGTTGGTAGAGGCTACCCTCAGGGTGTGGTAACAAATACCGGGCGGGCGAGCGATCGATTTATCCGAATTCGCGTTCATGTGCTAATCTGAGGATTTACGACATGTAGATTTGTTTCTTCCTCACCGGTTCGTCGCTTTAGCTGGATAACCGCACACTTGAGACGCTCCCGTCAGCTCTATCCATATCCAGGGTAATATGCAGCCTCAGCCAATACCATGTTAGCTTCGGGATGGCTCCGTTAACAAAAGTTATCCGCATAGATTGGTCCTCATCATTGCTTTACCTAGGCGGCTGACTTGCCTCACTTTCACTCTGTCTTCGTCTATACCGAGGAATTTATTAACCAGGCTCTGTAAAAACATCGTGATCATAGCGTGCCTGAGGGTTTGAACTTGTGGATTCAGACGCATGAAAAAGCATCGGATTTGATCGCATCTTATCATTCGAAACGGTTCCTGCGGTATGTGAGTGGTCTCGAGTCTCTTTGACTTGTTGGTCAGCAGCGAGAAGCTTCTATCCGTTTCGTGACCATTTCCGTTGTTGCGTTTTACATGGCTCCTCAGCGATCCGAGAATCCCCATTTTGGTCTTTAGAGCTAGCGTAATACAGTTAGTGGACCATTAGCCTTAATTGGCGTCGTGCGTCCGGAAACAATAAGGAAATTATGGTAATAAATTGTCAGGAAAGTGGATGAAAGCTGGATTGGACGACGAATTGAATCGTGATCAGCTGAGTGACCAGTTATCTAGATCTACTCACATTTAAACAATTTTGGCCACGATCTGCATCGGAGTGTGTCATATGCTTCTCTGACTGCGACAGTGGTTGCACAGAATTTTAGCGAAATTGGGTCATATGGTACACAGACGATAGAAATTAGTAGGTAGTCCAATCCACTAAATATGAAAGCTAGCACAACAATCAGAGCATCTAAAAGGGTATTTGCCGAATGTACCATTTTTTAGCAGAAACCACTAAGTGATTTCACCAGCATTTTTGAAAAATAACATAAACGTGACATAAACTGGTACAGCGAAATTTGCTATGCAGAATTCCGGAATCTACGTGAAGTTATCATACAAAATATGATCTGAAAATATAGAATCAGAAATGCAACTGAATGATACCGAATTTTCCATGAAATTATTTCAGTGTACCGATAGGTCCGCCAGCCACGGGGTAAGCAACTGGACACTTCTAATCGCTGCTAGCTTCAGATGTTCGACCATTAGTGTTTTCAAATTTTTGGTGCATATTTTTATTGTCTCCTTACAAGACGGCTGTTTTTTGGTGTCATCATGTTACTATTTATTCACGGCTTGTACTCTGCGGATGCCGTATATACCACGACAGTTTCTACAGTATGTTGTACTCGCAGATTCATAAACATCAATTTCTGACCATCCTAGGAACATGGGTATTGTTCCCGAAAGACAAGGTAGATTGAAGAATAACAAATGACACAACTCTGAGTGGTAGAACCATTTAGCATGATCTAGATTGGGGAATCACAGTCCACTTAGATTCCGGTAGTTATTTTCGTTTTAAGATTCTTCAGTACACACTTCTCATACCTGGTTTTCACGTTCTAAATACAGCTGCGCGTGGCGATTTGCCACATGCGAAGCGTATGTACGAATTATGGGAGACATTTCGTTTGTAGCCCATTTCATTCATCCTTCACCGAGACGCTGTAAAAGCACTCGCTTCTTTTCGCTGAAATATTGCAGACCATCGGGCTCATTATCACCTTGGACCTTACGGGCATATTCATCTAGGTTATACCGATGCGGAAGTAGCATTCGCCTACCGTTTCTTCTTGGCCTTGTTCCGCGATTGTGTGGCACTTGACTTGGCCACGTGGTCAGTTTCGTTCTTGGGCATTCATTTTTATTCTCAAAATGCCACAAAACTCCTGGTATAATGTTCCGTCGCCCTCGTTAAGCGAACATTCGCTACTGACGTCGCATCATAGTCACTTATTTTGAAATTCTTCCTCAAATTTACCATGTGTTCTGTTACTGCAACTGAATGATCTGGGCCGTGTCAAAAAGTTGTCTGGGAATCTCTCTGGTTGTCTTCATGTTTCTGACCGAAATCGGTCCCTAGAACTGTTTACGCAGCTAACTCTGTATTCTCCCAATGTATCCAATGTGTCTTCGATTGTAGTTTTCCTTTGAAGCTTGTCAGCATCAATGTGCGCATAGATCTCATAACCCTGATGCTGTATCATAATCGGGTTTCAGTGGCATTTAGGAGCTTTGCAGTTGCTGCAGTACAAACTATATCGCTTCCGCTTAGGTCGTGTAGCGTCCCTGGCTGTATATCACTAGTGTTCATGGCAGATCGAATGCTCGTGGCCTTGTCAGCGTAGTAGGGTACACACGGGTACATAACCATGGTGGCAATCAGCGCCCATGTATAGGTTTGCAGCACTGTCTTTTAGCTCTCGGTGACAGGAAAATTTGTGCAGTACTGGGAGCATACCTATAGGGCTGTGTATGAAGTGAGATGGTCACTTTCAACACATTTTAGCGTCCATCGTCTGAACTCGATGCTAATTCCAATTTGCTCGCGATTATAAGCGCAAACTGGGTGTTAACTTGATGTGAATTGGACCAGCTGATATTTGCTCAGGAATCGATAACCTGAATGTACCTTTTCCGCATCTACTGGCCATACAGTGGGTTTCGTTCCGTTATATTTACAATTTTCTCACTAACGCACGGAAGCAATGCTAGTTTACGGGTTTTCACCAAAACGTCACAATGCATAGGACAGTATTTGGGGATGAAAATCGAACTACTTGCCGCTTGTGGAAAGTTTATCAGTACCATTTCCTATTATTTTACCCCCCCCCCCCTGATTTGCGTCTTCGTTATTGTATGTGATCTTATCTGGTAGATTTGTGTGATTCGGCAGTACCACCTAACCCGTGCTTTAGTCATCCGGCTTTACCAGCGCTGGCAATTGTACGTTGATTCGAGAACGATCCTAAGTCCTATGATCCCCATCATCAGCTGCATATAGGTATAAATCATGAAGAATAGTCCAGCTTGTCAGACGAAGGAGTCTGTTTAACCAACATTCATACTTAAGGCGGTCACCACTGAACAACAGGCCGGTGTTAAATGATGACATGGTCGCATGTTTTCTCAATGCTGTCACTGGATTGCGGCACTCTATACCTACGGTCACGCATAACCAGCGCCATATACATTCTACAGAGGTCACATGCCTAGGGAACGCGGTGAACACAACATGGGTATTAATCATATGTCGTCTTCTGTTCGCTTATTAGAAATGCTCGATCATCCTGCATTCCTTGTTGGTTTTGCAGTTACCAGTGACTTATTCTGCATGATAAATCAGCTTCGCGCATCCTCGCATTCCTTGTCCGTGATGTTTTTGCGCAGAAGCCACGTAATTATTTGTCCCTTGCTTATTGATGCGTATAATTTATTTCACTTCACAATCCTCTGTTTTTCAACAATACAACTACTCTTCCTGAGGCGTACACCGACATCCTGTCTTCTCCATTCCAGAATACCACGTTGCTTTGTAGCCAAGTGGGCGACGTGCGTCCTCTGAGTATGTGTCGGTTCTCCCCGAATGGAACGCAATTGGCCACTTCTTCCTGGAGCGGATTATGTCGTCTCTGGAGCCTTCCTGACTGTAACATGCTTCTTAATTTGCGTGGGCACACTGCACCTGTGTGTAGCATTGTATGGCATCCTCAAGCCGGCCTCCAGCAAGAACAACAGTTGGCTTTGGCCAGTTCAGCTCAGGTTGGTCGCGTGATGCCCCTCTTGGGTCAGCTATTGTTTGCATTTGTTATTTCGTGTTCTGATCGGAGGATGGATAATCTGGTTCTGTTTTGATTGCGTTTGTCTTTTTCTACGGTTTGCCTATGTGTATCGTTTAGCAGTGTTCAGTCGGTTCCTATGTTACCAATATTCTTATCGGCTGTAGGTAACATTCAGACAAAATTCAGATACTCATTTTTAGCGATTGGAATCGGATTATCTGCTTTGTTTTTTATGATTATCACAACGATTGTAGTATATTTTCGAGAATTCTTAAGACACTTCCTCCTTCACTGTGGCCCTCAGTCATCTTCGTGCCTCATTGCTTTGCGTATGCAGAAGTATGTTCTTTTCGGGCAGGCGAAATCCAATTTCCACCTGCATCTGCTACGGTACTAGTGATCGAGTTGACCACGATTCACTTCAATACGAATCGCGGTCCACATGGAGATTACGCATCGCAATTCGTTGTCGAGAGCTTCGAAATAACCTCTCCTACCAATTTGCTTTCTTAATCTTAAACTTCTACGTAATCTTTCAAACAGGATGGTAGTGTGAAACTGTGGAGTTTGGACAGCGAAGAGCCACTAGCGGACATTGAGGGTCACGCACCTCATCGAGTGTCTCGTTTGGCTTTTCACCCCTCTGGCCGTTTTCTCGGTACTGCATGCTTCGACAGTTCTTGGCGTTTGTGGGACTTGGAAGTTTGCGAGGAAATACTCCATCAAGAAGGACATTCGAAAGCGGTGTACGACGTGGTGTTCCATCCTGACGGATCTCTTGCCTTGACCACCAGTCTCGACAGCTATGCTCGAGTTTGGGACTTACGCACTGGACGGTGCGTCATGTTCCTCGAGGGACATTTGGAAGAGTTGCTCGGAGCGGATATCGCGGACAATGGTTATCACGCGGCTACTGGCAGCGCAGATAATACGGTGCGTATTTGGGATCTGCGGCAGCAGCAGGCAATGTATGTGCTTCCCGCGCACAACAGCGTCGTCTCCAGCGTCCGCTTTGAACGTAAGTACACAATCATTCTTTACACGCATGGGGAGTGCTTTACAATCCTTGTTCCACCGTAGAATGGGCTAAAATACGCTTTGTCGTGATCATGTGACTGATACTGACTTCCGACTCTTGCTGCTTTGTCTGCTTAAATTCGGTATTCCACTGTTTGCTACATTGTTCTCTGCTCCACCGCTTTTATTGGTATCTTTCGTTCTGATAGTTGAAGGCTTCTCTCCACCTTCTTTATATGCCTGCACTTTATCGTGTTTCTCTAGAGATCTGTCAAAGCCCCCCTGAGACGTTTACCCGTCAACACAGTTATACTAGAGCCGATAAGCATGAAGTTTCTACTTAGATGGCAAGCGCTTTAGTCTTCGTTACTATTGGTAGTTGCTTTTTGATACCAATTAAAAAATCAGCTCCTCTGAGCTACTTGGAGCATGTGCATGCTGTAGTGTTGCCAGAATCAGTGTACCAGTTTTACAGACGTGAACCAGCTGGCCCTATATCAACTTATATCTGCCTCTCATAGACATCAAGTTAGTAAACTCCATCGTACTAGGTTGCTTGTGATTGCTGAGACTTCTTTGAGCTGTGTTCTTACCCATCAATTTCCGATTATGAAGTTATCTATAGTGCATGTTGACATACATTGGTTTGTTTTCTTACTCCGCTTACTGTCAACTTGGTGGCCGAATTGTGATAAGTATTCGACATTGCTGGAACTCCTTCTCAGCAGCCCAAGTATCGTTGGCTTCACTCGCTGCTGCTCCGCTCCACCCACCACGAGTTTATCCCCCCTGGGTTAGAAGCCAATACGAAGCATTTACTCGTTTTGCTTCTCAGAAGTTCAAAATTAAGCGGCGAATACGTTTCAGTAAATTTCGTCAGACCTTTATGATTATAGAGCAAAATTTTAAAAAAATAATTGCGGCTTATTCTAAATTGGGAGAATCACAAAATCGAGTATCGTTTCAGTCTATCAGACCACTCAGCACAGACCAAACGCACTCGCAGAGGAGGATGGGGATAATCGCTTACCTCTTCTCATGTTTAAAGTGAATTTCGTCTCATTGGAATGTATTAATGGCCAAAGCAAAATCGGAACCTGTTCCAGCGTCGGTTGTGCGAACAGTCCTGGCTTTAATCCCCTTATTCCGATGGCTTCGGTCGTCGTTAAACAGATGCTTCTTTAGCTCTTTGGAGTAACGTTGCGAAGCGGTATGAATGACTTTGAAGCACTCATTTACCTGAATCGCTGTCCATTTTCAACCAACTTTCTAAGAATAGAAATATTGATGAAACTTTGGTATAATAGGGATAAAAAAAATCCAGGGCTTAACAAGTCCCGTGGGATGGTTTGTGGGAATAAAGTTAGTTCAAGGTACACAAAAGTGAAAAAACATCTGTGGACTCACCATATTTATCCACGTTAACACATAGATATCTCCGTCTAACCCGATTTTGTGGGGTTGGTGAGCACAATGTTTGTCTGCGTCTTGTCGTCACTCAGTGAACAGAAATCAGGTCAACTGATGTAAATGATGTAAAGCATCGACGAGTGGATTTTTAAAAGTGGGCAGCCTGGGCACTGAAGTGACAAAAGTCGAAAAAGCATTCCACAGTTGCCAAATAATTCCGGCGTCACTCAAGCCAACTGTATTGGGTGGCAAGTTTCAGTTTATGACCCCCACAATTGTGTGTTGTAGCTAAGCTTCAGGAGGTGGCGGCAAGCGTGACCGGGGTTTTTCAAAATCTGGAACGCCAGGATGAGGTCACCTTGTAGACGGCGATATCTTCCGCTGTACACTTCAAAGGCTTTCAGTCAGGTGGGACAAACCCTTCACAATTTTCGTTGCCCGTCGATGTGCGGTCTCCAGTGCAACCAGGTCGCGTTTTAACCAGGATTTCCAAACCTTGATTGCGTACTCTACATGGTGCCTCACATACGCATTGAGCATTTGGGAGAAGATGGAGGGATGGAACCTCCCGAACGTCATTCATAACAGACCAACATATTGGTTCGTAGTTTTGGACTCCTTCAAGGACTGTGCCGAACAGCCGCATTCGTCTTGGATTACCACCCCAAGGTCTCGCTCCTGTGAAGCAGTTTTCAGCATATCGCCTCTAAGCTTATGTACGTACGTGTGCTTTTAGCGGGCATGCACAGTTTTGCACTTGTCCGTGTTAAACGGAAGTATCTTTAGTTTTGACTATTCCAAAGCGCAGTCTAAGTCTCGTTGCAACATATGGTGATCTTCCTGACGGTCGATTGCTCTCCATATCTTGATGTCATCTGCAAAAAACGGGAAATGTGTCTTGATGACACTCGCAAGATTGTTAATGAAGAACAAGAATAATCGCGACCCAACACCGACCCTTGTGGAACATCACAGTCTACATCAATTAGGTCAGATAATGAACCTCGAACTCTAACCTGAAGGCACCGCTGAAAGTGGAAGTTGCCGATCCATCCAAGGACAGGGTTTCCAGCTCCTTATATTTGCAACTTTTAGAGAAGGATGCGGTGATCTATACGGTTGAATGCTTTGGAAAGTCTAGGTAGATGACATCAATGGCGGTCCCACTGTCGGTTATCTCGGTCCAACTGCTACGGGCAATCAGTAGGTTGATAGTACATGACCGATGCTGACGGAATCCGTGTTGTTCCGGAGCTATGATGTTAGACCTTTCGAGGTAGCCCATTACACCCTCATCTATGATCGATTCCATCACCTTAGAGAACACCGGGAGGAGAGTCACTGGGCGATAGTTGGCTGGCTCTGAACGACTGCCACTTCTGAAAATTTGAATAATCATGCCTTGCTTCCACATGCTAGGGACCTGCTGTTCGTCCAGGCAACTTTGGAACAATTTCGTTAGTGGTTCAGCTATCCTCGTAGCTACCATCTGCAGTGCTTTCGGGGAAATGTTATGAACGCCGGAGGAGCTATCGGTGCGCAACGGTAGCAGCTTCCTCGAAATGGCCACTGAACTAAACGTTAAGTATGTAAACACTGGCACCTGGGAGAATGGGACATGTATGTTACAAATGCTGGGAGCAGGTCGGAAAGTTGGGGCATATTGTAGCTGTAGAACGTTGGTTGCATCCTCGGCGGTTTGAGCACATCCATCCGCTGGGATTAGTGGGGCTACACCACGTTTCACATTCCGGAGGCTGTTCACATGTCTGCACAGAAGCTTTTTGTTAACACAAAACTTCTCCGCTATACTCTGCCGGAGTACTAATTTATCCTCGCGCACGAGTGTGGTACAGTGATTACGATGCACAACGTAGAGACTCCAATTGTCAGGGCAAGGATTCGCTCTATACATGTGCCACGCGGCGGCGTCTCTTACTGTCACGTTTTTTCGGGTTCTAATCCGAATGAGTGGTTTTGATCTTCCAGAACGAAGGGGCTTGTTGACCGATGCAGATTTAATCAGATCACTGAACTTGCCAGTAAAACCCAACAAAGCACTGTCACTGGAACAGTCGTCCGTAAGCTCCCAGCTGGCATCTTTCACAAGTTCTGCCAGCATGTCTTAGTGGGTGACTGTTCGAAACAAGTTAGTATGTTCTTGTGGATATTCCGCATAACACACGAAGTCATAAATTATGGTTACGTGGTCGCTTCACCCCAGTGGCCCCTCCAACCTTGGTTTCTGAACCATGAGCTCTTCGTTTGTGGGCACTAAAGCAAGCACAGATGGTTTAGTTCCGGCTCTGTATCGGGTGGGTGAACTGGCATAGCTGAAGAGCGGAATGCTTGCAATATACTCTTGCAGGTCGGCCTTAACCTGCTCGTTTGGGGATGCCGGAACTTCCAAATCATGAAGATTGAAGTCATCTGAGATGAGAGCATGACTGTATCGTCCTCGTAGGACCGTTTCCAAGGATAACGCCAGACGGGAGTCCATTTCTGGCGTCGACATTGGGGAACGATAAACAACGGCCAAAAGGCGTCGTTGCCTCTCAATCACAGACTGCACCAGTGAGTCTATGATCAGCGTTTCCGGAACGGCCACCGGTTCGCACTGCAGGTCGTTGCAGTAGTATAACATTACCCATCCCTGCCTTTGCTTGGCCGATCGTTTCGGAGAAGGGACATACCATTTATCACGACTTCGGCATCGGTAATTTCTGAGTGAAACCAGGTTTCCGTAAGGAGTATGAGGTCCTAGGCATGTGACTCTTGACGTAGCCGCAGTTCAGCAAGCTTGATCAGGAGACCTTGTGCATTGGTGTACATACAGGAAAGTTTCTCTGTTTTTAGCAATGAATTGTGGGTTGGGTGTTTTAGATAAAATGTTGTGCCGACCGGTAAAAGGTCGGCAACTAATCGTTTTTGGGTGGTTGGATGACGAACTTATTTGTGTCCGATTCATAGATCCTCCCATTACCTCTTTGCTTCACTTTGTATATAATGTATGGGTTGTGTTTGCCAGTTTCGTTGGCTAGTTGATTGAAATTATCCGAACTCTTGTCGGTAAGTGGTCTGACTAAGTGGCTGTTGTCGTGTGTTTGCATAGCAGATGCTGCTTTGATCCGCAGCTCGGACAGAAGGCTGCTGCGGCTCGCATACCCCATCCCTCCGCTTCCATTGCTGACATTTGTCTAGATTGAAGGACCACTTTTACAATCCTCGGGCCACATCCCTTGTAGTTTGGCGACCGGCGCAGCGTCGAGATTGGTTGCGCTGTGACGTTTTCCAGCGAGAGTGTGTCGCGAATGTACCGCTATTGTTCCTGGTCGTGAGTGGTCGCTTCGTGCTCATCATGACTTCTGGCCTCGGAAACACCATGTACAAGGATGGTCCTGGCTACATATTCCTTCCGGTTTTCGTCCAAGCAGTGTTTCGCCTGTCTGCGCTCGCTCCACGGAATATCCGGTACTAGGCGGATGGAACATAACCCATTCCTGAGGTGAGCTGTTGATAACAGGACAGCTTCTGCTTCATTGGCAAAAGTCAGCACAATTCGGAGAAGTCTTGGTTCACCGTAGTGCTGTGCGTTTGGGTGACGGGTAACGCGTGTCTAATTTACGGGCTTGGTTACAACCCCTATAATGTCACATATGAAGTTCCACTGGTTCACATCATCGAGTTGTTTTCCTTTTAAGGAATTAGACATCGATTCTGGAACGTTGGTGCAGATTAGCGCTGGTATACTACGTGCAACCCTGGTTGAAGTCAAGCGACCAGCTGGTCTGTATACATTCGATGTAAGCTGTTTGGGTACAGCTTCGTCTTCTTCATTTACTATGGGTCCGATGGGAGTGGCCGGAGATTTAGTTTTCCAGTAACCTTTGGCAGAAACCAGGTTCCAACCACCACTGGTGTCGAAGGCCTTCTGAGTTTTCGGAACCGTTTGGAGGATGAACAAGGTTCTGACCGTGCTCATTGCAATCGGACTGACGGTGGTTGTTTCAGGCATATTTGAGCAACTGGTGGTATTGGCGTTTAATGCTACAGATGATGCATTTTTTGCACGCTGCCTAGACTTCTTCCTCAGTTTTATTGCGGTGCTGGATGAGAATGACCGGGATTTACTCACTATCACGCTTTCTACAAATAAATCGCTTTTAGTGCTCCTCATTTGTTCAAACAATGCAACTAGTCTTTCGTACTTCTGCGATAGTTCATGTACAATCTTTATCAGTGTGATGACTATACATACTGAACAGAACCAAAGTGAATCTGGTTCACTATTGTGTAGCTTCAACTGGTTCAATGTAGGCTTGGAACATTTGCGATGGAACTTGCCTTGGCAACTGCTACGTTGAATACCGATTTGTTGATTTTTCTAGCATACAGAAAGGCCACAAACTACTGTTGATCTGGGTGCGGTAACATGGGTTTTGGCTTGGTCGCCTCGATTCATTGCGTTGATCGATGGTAATCCCATAGAGACCCGAGCGCTTATGGTTTCCTGCCGGTTGCGTGTGCGCTGAATTGTCTGCATGTTCAAGGTCGTCACGTTCTGTGCGTCTGGCCCTGGCGGGACAGGTTTAAGCGGCTAGATCGTTCACGCGGCAAACAGAGCGACTGAGCGATACGGACGATAGCTACTTTGATGAACGGTTCACAGCTGTGGTTGCTGATTCATTAGATGAAAGGTGTATTTGGCTTTCGTTTGAGACCACACATATTTCTGTGTGATTCATGATTCGGAAAATTCCTCGATTGTATTTTTGCGGGAATGGCGCAAAAACCGCAACTTGGGGATAAAAGACGATCCACACAAGTTAGATCCGAACGATGAAGTGCACTAAATAGCGCAGATGCATCTGGGAAGAATGAGTGTGTATACACCTTTGTGTGATAAAATGCAATTAAGAACGGCAGCAACATGTGTTCACAGATGAGCAATTGGAACGCAGCTTTCGTACCTTTTCGTAGTGGCGCAAGGCAGTGTTTAGCGACCTGGTCGAAAGAGCCCCCGGTCGCATATCCGGAGTACCTCGAACCACAAATACAAGTGAGTTGATGTAAGATGAATGATTATGACTTGATCAGGAGACTATCCTCCAAGCACTGCGAAATCAGCATGTCAGTTTCAACAAGTACTTTTTGTTTGAACCTGGAAATACCGGGGGTTTCTCTTATTTCTGTACTGTTGTTCGGCTTAGATTTGAGGTGACGAGTGTAGCAAGTCCGACACAAAACACCCGAAACTGTTGATTTCTCCTTTTTGGGGGCATGAACATAATTGCGTCATATGCCGTGCCGCGTTCGGACTGGCGCAAACGTGCTACAAACATTAGGCTCTGAGTGTAACCACGATTACATTAAGCATCCGTTTACCTATGCTAATTAGGTTCTCGCTGCCATGTGTACGACGCACACCACATTGGTCAATGGTTAGTAGCCAAATAATCAAGTTCACTTATGCTTCGTCTAATGCAGATCGTGAACATGTTTTTGTCACCTAGATTTCCATGACCGCAGTAGATCCACTTGCCTTTCTCGGAGCCTTTATTGTTGCCTTTAATTCGTAAGTTCTTGCGTGTATTTTTTCCTCGTATCGTTAATTTTTCATCTGATTATGCTTTTTTGCAGCTCGGGACTGCAGATACATCGTCACGAGTTCTTTCGACGGTACTGGAAAACTTTGGGGTCATCCGGTTTGGGCCCCAATTAAAACTCTGGAAGGTCACAACAGCAAAGTTTCATATGCCGACATATCTCCCAATGCTAAGCACATCTGTTCTTGTTCACACGACCTAACTTACAAACTGTGGGGTGTGGAATCTCACCAATGAGATTATCACCTCCCTTATTTTTCATCCCAGTTTGGGTACTTGTTACCTGTACAGCTGCCTTTCTTGCTATTAAAATGTGAATATCTAACTGCATCTCTTTTCGGTTTAAGTTAGCTAATTATCCTTACATGAAACATCTGCTTTTTGCAATAGCTTCGCATTGAGTTCCTTGGATGGCAACTTCAATTTTCGATACTTGTCACCCGATTATTGTACTAGAAAAACGAGTGTAAATACTCACGCTGTAATTTTGATGGTTTCAGCGCCTTGAAATGTCAACAACAAATAAATCGTTACCTTAATGCACCTCAGTTGGCAGTTTTGAAAAGAAGTCTGTAGGCCGCCCACTCAACCCTTCTCAGGATTCGATATCAGCGTTATCGTTATCGTACCTCAACCAACGGCATTCTTATTTCGTTTTTACCTAACTGTGCTTTTCGAGCGCGTCCTCGACGTAACCTGAACATATATCATCTTACGACGCCTAGACATGTGTGTTCCCCGCATCTTGCCCGGATTCGGTTTACCATCCAACAGTATTTGGCTCGTGAACAGTCCTGTGCAGAAGTCCCCGTTTTCACTGCTCAACGCACTTTTTAAACCACCTGGCCAGCCTCCGTCTGATGCCAGTTCCCGAGTATGATTAATGTGGCAATTCATAGAGATGACAGCCGTTGTAATACATTGTTTACTTTTTTATTTCTCGAACTGTAAGCTTTGTAAGTTTAATATTTGTGCGAATTCAGCACTATGCTGTGCGCTATCCCTGAATTCGCCCACTTAACGCACAGTTGCCTTATACAGAATTCGGCGAAACATGAATATCTCAAGGCGGTTCCTCCATGGCGGAATTGGATCTTCAGTGAACTCGACATTGATCACTAGGCGAAATTCATGTAGCTGTGCCGGTTTCTTGATGTCTTAACTCCTCCGATTCCGGTAGGACTGATCTCTTTGACGGCAAACCTGAAGCCCCGATCAAAATCGGAAGTTCACGAGTGACACAAAGTGTTGCCCATCCAGCTACCGAAAAAGGTGCAACTAGTGTAAAAAAGGATGGATATTTGTTTATTAACTCAGGAATGGCGCTCCAAAACAATTATCGTGTGGCCTGGATGTGTCTACCGATTGTCATGGACGCACCGTAAAGTGTCGCACGTTGCCCGCCCTGAGAAAATCTTGATGAATTCTAACGGCAGTCCGGAAGTCCAATCGGATCTCACACGATGCACTACGCACACAAGTGCGGCGTCTGCGTACCGCAACTTGCACAGCGCTTCACGCGATGAGGCGCAGACTAGGGATACTTGAACGATCGATACATTCTGGTCAGTGTTTGAGGACAGAATGTTTCGCGGAAAACTGGATGCCTGTGGGCTCTGTACTGACCGATGTTTAGCCGTAGCACTGAAGTTACCGTTACGTACAGGGTCTACTGTGGTAAAAAAAATGAACATCGCGTTGGCGGACGAACGTACACGTGGTGCACAACTGCTGCTATTTCATCGCAGCTATGTTCCCATTAAAGTAGACAGACTGACGTACACGTGAGAAATAAGTTTTCGATGTGCCCGTATTTGTAGGAAAGGTAATGTTAAAACACAGTTACGGTGGGCACGCCGGTAGACTGAAAACTAGCTTCCAAAGAAGCACTGTAGGAAAAAAGCACCACTTTCAACTAGACCTTTCACATTAGGAATAATAACGACTTGGTAGTATTTTGCTTTCCTGTTAAGTGAGCCAAGTTCTATCTGGAATTTCTCTTTCCTAAATAACCTACGATACTTAAAGATTACCCGGTTGTTTCAGTTCAGTTTAGTGCAGTTGATAAATCATGATCCGGGCACCAATGTGCTGTGGATGCAGTTGTCACGAATCGCGTCGCCAGAGTGGCAAAAATGAAGAATGATAAGTAAATGCGGTATTAGCAGAATGGAAGCAAGAACGAGGTGCATGAAGCTAATCGCATTGAAGTATGAACAGCTACACGCAAGAGAACGAATCCAGGGACAGCACTGACTCCGACAATGCGCCACGTCCGGTAGAGTCTCTAACCATTGGTTTGGACTAGCACGAGGCCCGTATCTACGAAGACGGTACGTACCTGCTGGACTAAGTGTCTCGGTCAATTCCTTCATATCGCTGTGCCACGTCATTGATTGAACAGCTCGTGGTTTCGCCAAACTTGGTGCAGTGACGGCGTATAATGCTCGCCGAGGAAGGCAGTTAACTGGTGTACGGAGTGCATGACCTAACCAACGTTAGCGATTCAACTTCAATAGACACTGATGTGAGGCACCGGAGGGTTTCTTGCGAAAATAGCAACTGGCGGACCTCAGTATTGCCCACCTTGTGTTCCCAACAGATGCGTGCAATACTGCGTGAGACCAGTTGAACATAGACGGCCAACCGTTTGATGTCTTCCGTACGAACTGGTCAAGTCTCAGATGCATACAGTAGCACCGGCCTTATCGCAGTTGTTCCCAGAAGTATAGCTTTGTCACACTGAAACATAGCATCCACGAACGCAATATGAATCTACATTTAAGAGGGTCTTGCCACCAGGTGATCTTCCATCTTTTGTTACCCCAACGCAGGAACTCAACCACATCACGTTTACCGCGGAAGCTGTCCTGCAAAAGCTTACGTCTCTGCTCAACCACAGCTCCCCTGGTGTCGATATTACTCGCCCAGAAGCACTGGGAACAGCGTCACGACTACTGGCAGAACCTTTGGCTCAGTTCTTTCACCGGTATCGCTTCTTCCTGTACTGTCCAAAGTCATGTAGTCCATCGTTGCCGATGTACTAGGGTGCTATCCCGAAAACTGCAACATCATTGCTCTTAAGCAACATGACTTTCGTCGACAGCGACCGTGCACAACCAATTTCCTGATAGCTCGGAGTAGCTGGACCGCGTCAGCTGACGCAGGAGCGAACGTCCATGTAGTCTACTATGATTTCTCGAAGGCATTTGACCGCCTGGACCAATGGATTCTTCTCTCCAAGCTGCAGTATTCTGGCATCGGTGACCCCATTTTCACCCGGATTGCCAACTTTCTCCTACGACGGCAGGGGATGGTTAGAGTTCGAAACCTGTTATCAGACCCCATACATGTCGAATGTGGTATACTTCAGGGCTCTGTTCTAGGGCCACGATTGTTTTAGTATTTGTCAATGACCTGGCACTGACGATGGGTTCAAGTTTTCTTATCTTTGCTGACGGCATCAAGATATAGCGCACGATTCAGTCGGAGGCTGATCTGGTTATGCTGCAGCATGACTTGGACATGATACAGCAGTTGCCAAACGAAAAGCTGCGGCGTTTCGACATAAGCAACTGTAAGATAGTCTTCAAACGACACCAGAGTACCTACTATTACGTGCTCGAAACGCACGTACTGCAGCGATCTTCCGTCGAACGCGATTTAGGCGTGCTGGTTCAGGACGACGTAAGTTGTTCCCAGCAATCCGAAAAGGCATCGAAAACTGGTAATTAACACATCGGTTTGCGGAGACGGGCATTTGGACAATTCGACATCTTCAAGTTCCGACATGCTCAATACGACCTGATAATGGCATACCTGATTCTAAACAATTCAAATCATGTGTGTGGAGAGAAGGACTACTGTGTTAAAACGGATGAGTCCATCCCTTTTACAGTAAAATTGACAACTGCCATGTTGAAGTACCTGCTTGACCAAGTCTCTCGGTCATCTGGGTAGCAGCCCACAAACGTAGACATGACGGAGCAAAATATGGATCACCGAGGTTGCATAGACTAGGCGCATTGACACGGATCGGTAAGCTGAACGGTAACCAAATGGAGGCCTCTGCTACAAGCAAGAAGCTCGGTGTGCAATAGCATTATGACCGATAATTAATTTGTCTATAAACGACATACCGGGCCCCCCAATAATCTCTTACTTATGGCTCTGGTGTGGATTGGAGAGCATTTGCACCTACGGCTCCAATGAGGCTCGCAATGAGGCTGGACCTTACCGTGGTGCGATGGTTTGTGTGCCTCAGCGATCCATTGAGCTACGCTGGGTGGTGCTTTTGCACCTTCACAGTCACTCATACCAGATTGGTCAATGGCTAGAGGCCAGACAAACTCAGCCTCCTGGTCCTCCAGGTTGGGGGTTGGAATGAGGGTGGCACCTTATTCCTTAAAATGGACTCCTTGTAGCCCAACGCCAAACCCGCTGCATTGCGGTCAGGTTTTTGAACCAAAGGCTTTGGTTGAGAACCCTAATCGTTCTCCTGTCTAGGCCTGGGCAACCTGACAGTATCCTGCCCACGCGATACTATGAATTTTCCTTCAAACAATTTCTTGATGCTCTGGCCACCGCAGCGGATAATAAACGGTGCCCTATCTGCTGCATCGAGCAGGGTGGATAGGGGTTTGGATGCTACTGCTCAAGCCTTCCCGTCTTCTTATTCCCCCTCTTACGCTTTTTTACTCTTACCGTCCCATTCCAACTTCACTTATAACTCCCCAGTTTTCAACCCCAGATTCTTGGCCCTCCCCCAACATGCTTTGCTAGGCATTTACCTTCTAATTTCAACTCACACGTGAACGCGGAGCGTCACTCCTCTCCTGTCGACAAGCCCATGTCCAACCAAGCGGTCCAATCCAGTTCATCGGCTTCCATTTGGAGCCCTCGATTCTCCTTCAGATTGGCATGCCTCAATGTACGCACACTGCTACAAATCGGTCAACAGGCAGCACTTGCCCGAACATTGGAGATCCTCTCGATCGATATCTGCTGCTTATCAGAGACTCGCCTGCAAGACTCGAGCACTGTGCCCACTCTGCGATCCCCTTCAGGGGACGCCAGCAGTATTTTCTCCTTGCGCCTATCCGGTGACGATGCAGCTTCGGGCACCGGCCAAGCCTGTGTTGGTATTGCCCTGAGTCCCCGGACTGAAGCTGCTCTGGTTGATTGGATTCCAATCAGTAGCCGGATGTGTGCGGTCCGACTGGCTGGCTCGTTTAAAGCTTCGAAGTCGCGCGGGACTAATAGGTGTCTATTCATCATCGCTGCCTATGCGCCCACAAACTGTAGCGATGATTCGGTAAAGAACGGCTTCTACCGCCAACTGACCCAGCTCCTTCACCACAGAAGAAGCACGGACACTGTTGTGCTGGCGGGGGATATGAACGCACAAGTTGGAAAGTTGTCCACTGATGAACTGCATCTGGGCGGTCAACACGGTGTAGGCTCCCGTAATGATAACGGTGAGCGGTTACTTCATTTGTGTGAAGATGCTCGCTTATTTCTT